CAAATCCTGCCCTGCCCAGCACAATCCATGTCAGGACAGCAACGCTGGCAGGCCCAGCTCCACACACAGCACAGGCTCATCTCACACACACCCAGCACATCACCCTGAGCTCGTTTGCCTGAAAGGAGCAAGCAGCATTCAGTTCAATCAGAAATGACAGCAGAGCCCATTCTAACAAATGGGGAGACAACAAGAGCCCCAGTTCTCCTCTTGGACACGGTCACAGCTCCTCTGAGGACCAAGCAGAGCTGGGAGTGCMCAAGACAGGAGGAGGGCTCGTGGAGAACAGAAGAACCTGCTTTAAGGACATGACACAGAGCTACAACAACGAGGAGAGAGAGAAGTAGAAGGAGACATACTGGAGAAGCTGACCATTGCGAAATGCTGACACCGGTCTCCTGTGAATTCGATCGGACACCTACCGGAAGAGAGAAAACCAGAAAGAGAGAAACAAGATAGCAAAATGACACCCAAACAGGCTGAACTGAGGCCCCTTCTGATCCCTTCCAYGGCTCCTGTCTGTCTGCTTTCAGCCTTCACCCTTACCTGCAGCCCTAAGCCCTGCCCAAAGCTGACACCAAGAGCCATCCCTGACTAGACCACTCTACATCCACCGCTGTGCCCGGGAGGGTTTAAGTAGTGTGGTGCATTTTTTGTCTTCAAACATACTTTGCTTAGGATCTGGCATGTACAATCGCAAAGGCAGTTTCTCCAAACATCTCTGTCCGAAGAATCCGTTTGGACATCTGGAGGGGGAAAAGGGGAGAAATCACAGAACATGTCTGGCACAGTTCTTGAGGCTAAGGTCAGAAATAAAAATGCATTGTGATGAATGGGAAAAATAAAGGCTTTTCATGTGTTTTTACTCTTTGTTGTGCTTTAACAAGGCACCTGCAGTGTCAGTGTTCCAGCTCTGGTTCAGGTCTGGGTCTTCAGCAGGCAGCCAAACCCCTCCTGCTCTGTCCTGCTCTGCCTCCTCACCTGTTAGCAGCACCCCTGGCAGTGAGACTGAGATGGGCTGGGTGCTGCTTTCAGAGACTGTGGAGCTGCTCTGTAGAGTGGCAAGAGGCACTACAGAGCAGTGAGCAGCTGCTCAGGTGACAGYGAGCACTGGGCGTGGAAAGCGTGTCCCCATGCTCACCCCAGAAGCACCCACGGGTGCTGCAGGGCAAGGGGCACGGAGGGGTTAGAGGGAAAGCAGGAGCAGAGTCTCTGTAACAGAGGAAGGGACAGAGAAGGAAGCTGAGCCAGAGGGCTCTCACACGCTGTCCACATGCAGGGCTCTCTCAGGCTGTGCTGGCCCAGGTCACCTGCKGGGTGGGATGTGCACCAGTCACACTTTCACACAGTGCTCAGCTGGCAGGGAAGGTGCCCAGCAGATGAGGGCCACCAGGCTCGGCCCAGCCCATCAGTAGCTCCCCAGAGCATGCCCCAGCTGAGCCAGGCTTGGGGAGCACAGGGACATGGGCAGGGGTGCAGCAGAACCACCCAAGGTGAGCAGCACCTGCACCCTCTGCCCTGGGACCCACTGCAGGTGAGCCTGGGAAGCCATGGCAGCCCAGCCTGGTGAGGACAAACACTTCTCCCCAAGGGGCTTCTCTCTTTCCCTCACTTCACATTTTTCTTCTGGATATTCCTTGGATAGTCTTGCACATTATCCCTGCTTTCCTTGAAGTCCCAGYTCTCACCTCCCTGGGCCACAACTCACTCCTTCCCTTCTCAAGAAACTCTCTTTTCTCCAAGTTTAAGAGGGTTTTAAATCTGTTTTTCAACTTTCTGTGAGTGGAGCTGCCAGCTCTGCACTTGGTACATGTCAGACCTTCCCTGCTCTCAGATAGCACCCACCAGATCTCACTGTCCTGCAGTGATCTTCAAGTGGTCAGCAAGGAAGGGACCRAAGGACACCTCAGTAAAACGCAGATGAATCAGAGGCCCAGTCTGATGTCAGGGTCAGTCCACTGCAAAGGACAGCAAGAGGCTGGAGCAGCCACAGCACAACATCAGGGGACTGCTCCCAACCTGTGCATCTGCTGGGGTGGGGTGGGGCAGGTCCAGGTCTGGCTCCAGGTCCAGGTTCAGGTCAAGACTCCATGCAGAAAACTTTGATTTTTGATAGTTCTACTTCCTCATGGACCTACACTGACCTGGCACTTGACTCTTGCTGGATTTCACTGCAGTTTGTGTAGGCCTGAGCTGAGCAAAATCCCAGCTGCACCCTCAGTGCCTGTGACCAAATGTGGGTCAGCGTCTGGGTTTTTGGGACCTGTRCTCACAGCTCTAAGTGGGGGTGTGCTGGGCTATTCGTGCACCCCAAACTGCTCATGGAGAACCTTAGGGCATGGCTCTGCATGAGGCTGCACTGAGCTCTCCAGGTGTACACTTCAGTCCCTCAGTGTCCACGTCACTTTTGAAGCTGAAAATTGGACTCCCTGGTCAGGCAAATATCTTGGAAAAATTTGCCCTCTTTTCTCTTTCTTGAACATTCATCTTGGGGCACAGGAAAGGGAGATTTCAGCTCCAGAGAGCCAAGGCAGCTCCCAAGGAAAGCCCAGGCCAAGGGGTGACCATCAGACACGAGGCCTGCTGACCTTCCCTGCAATGAAGCAGAGAAGTGAGGAAGGTGCCCTGGTGTCAATCAAAGAGCACAAAGCTGAGGCACTGGGTGGCACAGGCTCACAAACACAGCCCTGGGGAGGCAGAAACCCTTCAGACATTGCACTGGGTCTTGAGCAAGGAGTYCAAAAGAGAAGGTGTCTTCTGAATCCTTTTCGAAGTTTATTCATCTCCTCTGAGATAGACAGKAACTTCTTCACAGAGTCTTCAGGAGAATCCAGTTTAACTTGCAACGTGCTTCCCATCAGTCTGGGATCTGAGATTTCCTGGATGTTGTGAGCAYGCTGAAGGGCATCAGGGGTGCTGCTGAATGGAGCAATTGTCCCACCCACCCCAAAAAGGGGTGTTTTGTCAGAAGAGATTTAAAACTATCTCAGGTGCACATCTGCWAGAGGTCAGCCAAGGCTGGAGCTCCAGTGTGACCGAAGCTGTGTGCCATTAAGGAAAGACTGAAAATTATGGGAAAATTGGYGGAAGGAAATAAAAGCCTGGAGAARGAAATKGGTAAGAAGTGAAAAAACAGAACAAAAAGGTGTCAAAGAAGCTTTGATGCCATGACAGCTACCATATTGTCCATCTTCAGATCTCTGCAGTCAGCCGAGCGTGGGTGGGGAGAAGAGCTCTCTAGACAGAAGGCAGTAGACAACTCTTCTCTGTGTCTAGGACAGCCCAGGCTTTTCATCTTTACTTACTCAGTGAATCAGCASTGGGAGAAGTGACAGGGAAAAAGCCCTCCTGAACAAGAGCACCTTCTGTCACCTCCCAAGCTTGTGTATGAGCTGCCAAGGTACAATGTGCCACCCTGGCATACCTGGGTTCTGGCTCCTCCTAAGCAAGGCTGCCGGCAGAGGAAGTGACCAGAAGACCTTTGAGAGCATGCAGTGCTTTCAGTGCTTTTGGTTCTTTATTTTTTTAGCTGTCTCTAACTTCTAGGCTGCTGAAGATAATTTATTATTTATTACTATGGCCCCAGATGTGACTTCAAGGAAAGAAATTTCCAGCGTGCTGGGCACATGAGCCTCCCAGTCTGGACAGGAAGGGCAGTGGAGAGCATCCCTCCAGCATTAAAATCTGTGCTAAGGGCAGCTCATCTTCAGCAAGGGATAGCCCTGGAAGTTAAAGCTCACTGAAGTCCAGGGCTGTGAGCTGGGCTTTGATCACAGCATCCTTCTTCCTGCACGTTTGACCCCAGCCAAGAGGCTCTGGCTGCCTCTCCCAGCAAAACCAGGTCCCTCTTTCTCTGAAAAACTCCTGCAGGGACTACATAGATGGTGGGTCATTCCTGAAAAAATCACCTCTGGACTTTCTGGTCCACTCACGGAGGCCCAGTGGTCTCTCCCTAAAGGCCAATGGAAGTGGACAAGGGTGTGTCCATGGGAATGGTCCTGGGGAGACACAAGGCTGCTCCAACCTCTTGCAGACAGGACCTTGTCCCCTCTGTAGCCTGAGTGGAGAATCCCAAAACTGCCCTTGCCTAACTCCATCCCTCTGTGTCTGATTGCTGCCTCTGAAGATTACTTGCAAATGCCATTGATAAAGCTGGTGAGGGATTTTTCTGTCCAGATTGTTTTCTATTATTGCTGGAAAATGGCCAATTCTTTTAGTTTCGACTTTTTTTTTTTTTAAACCCCATTTTGAAAACATCCGCAAAGTTCTGCTCCTGGGTTCAGGATGAATTGCAGTGAGATATTTGCATGGTAACAAAAATGTAGTAAGATGATCAGTCAAATAATGCATATCAAGTACAAACCAAAATGGTTTGAATGACTCATTTCTATGATGTTTGCTGGGTACTTATTTATGAAAATTGAGGACCTTCAACATTTTGCCCTGTATCGGGACAGAGCAATAATCATTGTTAATTATTATGTGCTACAATTAATTCATTATTGTAATGTTCATGCTGGAAGCACGGGCTAAAAAAATTAGCCCAGCTGTTGCTCCAAATCTAAGGGTTGGCACATTTCCTCTGCACCCCCAGCTCTTAATTAAAATATACCCAATTGAGTAGCTCTCATAAAGCAAGAAGCTACAGAAGAATGTGAATGAGCAGGTGCTTCAAAATAATGCAAAAAAGACAAGCTGTAGCAGAAGGACACAACGCACTGATGTAAGCAAATGGAAAAAAAATGTTTCAAGCATGTTGTTTTTTTTGGAAGGGCTGAAAAAGAAGACAGTTCTGTCATTGTCCCCTGACCAGTCCCAGATGATCAGGCTCTGGAGAGCCACAAAAGGCTGGACTCCACGAAATCACTGATGGGAAGAAAAGAAAGCAACCAGAATAAACGCAAAGGCCTTCTCCAGAGCAGCTAATCAAGGCATGTTTGCTGCAGAGTGGAGCCCAAAGCTCAGGGATGTCCACTGCTGGCTCGGTGATGACAATGGCGCAGTCTGGCTGAGCTGAGGGAGCATTGTGGGATCAGTGCCACTGCCCTCAGCGAGCCTTTGCTGCTGCAGCATCAGCTCCCACACTCTGATGGCCCCAAGGCTCTGACACAGCCCCAGAGCACGGAACAGGATGCACAGAYGGGCCACTTGAACCTGGAAAGGCACCTGATCTCACCACCCAAGATAAACAGCATGCAAAACCCCAGCAACGAGTCCTGGCTGGCTCAGGGGATTTGGAACAGGATGTGGAGATTTTCACCCCTAGCTCTTCATTTCCAAGGACATTGCAACACCTCCCCACGGAGCTGCTCATGCATCCATGGCAAAGTGATGTCCTTGGGGCTGTGCTGTGAGCAGCTCGTGCTGACCAAATGACATGGGCAGGGGTGGGACAGCTCCAGATGCCACCAGGCAGCTGAGCAAACAGTGCTGCCAGGAGGACCACAGGGGATACAGGGTCCCTGTGATGGTCACTYCTTTGGATGGTGCTCTGGGAAAACACAGGGGAGCTGGCAGTGTGGCCAGCCCTTCAGAAGGGTCTTTGCCTTTCCTGGGAAAACCTGCAGGAAACAATGCACTTGGAGGAGGTGAACATGTGATTTTGAAAATTGATGACTTGCATTCATTGACTAATTTTAAAATTATCTGTTTTTTCCTCCTTTTGCTTAGTTGTGTTTTTATTCTCTCCTTGACTTCCACGTTTTGCCCRAGGTGCTGCAGCCTCTGACCTGAGTCCCTCACGTAACGCAGAGCTGTCACYCCAAACCCAGAKGGTCTGYTTGTCTGTCAGCATTTGTGAATCCYYCAGCCYGATTCCTGCGAGCACAACTGGTCCAGCATGGTATGGGGCTGTTGCTCTGCAATACTCTTGAATTCTTCTGATCCCACACAACATCCTGGCCCAGAGCAGTTTACTTTGAGTCCACTGACCACACAAAAGATGCATGAAGAGCTTTTTAGCAGATGGAGAAGACTCTGCAATGATGAGACCTGACTTGCTTGCTTTGTTGGGCTGGGAAGGCCCCGACTGTACCTAATGTGTGCCAAGACCAAACTGGGGAAAAGAGCATTTGTGCCAAGACCAAACTGGGGAAAAGAGCATTTGTGCTCTTTGGACAGCACAGCCCTTTGGGGCACCCAGCAATAAAAGGTTGGAGCAGCCTCCAGCTGCTCTGAATTGTGCCAAGGATCCAATGGGCTCCAGGATGGAGGCAGATCCAAGAGCAGAGGCTGCCATTCATCCCAACACTGTGTTTGACTGGACACAACAAACCAGGCAGGGCTGTCCTGTGTCCCAGMCCAGCTCCAGGCCTGGACACTTGCTTGTGTTCATCCCATCATCTGTGGCACCTCGATGTGTTCTATTCAAACTTGTCACTGCCCTGCCAGTCCAGCTCCCAAGGCCTCTCACAGTGAATGGTCTGGAGAAGGGTCGAGGAATTCTTCCAGTCCAGATCCCGAGGTTTTGTCATTTACAGACCCTGCTGAGTCGGTTCTGTCTGCATGTGGCTCCCAGGTTTATGCTGAAAATTCGCAGAACATCAGAGGCAAATCCCACTTGTCCCACGTAAATTCCAGATGGTCTGTTTGCAGAGTCAGGATAATGGCAAAGATTGCTTCATGCTCAGGTTTCCTTTGACGCAAGCATGTGTAGAATTTACTTCAAATTAAGGACAAAATTATGCACGCACACAATCCAGAAAGACACAATTTCTGGAACATCTCCAAGTCCATTCTGGGCTCTTCCAGTTAAGAAAATGTTTTGTCCAAGGTCTATCTGAAGTGTATTGAAAAGGAAGGGAGGAAGTGGGATTACAAGCAAATGCTTTGTTCCTCAGGATTTAGAAGACCAGGAGGAACACGTTTCTGGGAAGCTTRTTATAAAATAATAATAAAAGGCCAGCTGCCAATTTAGGCAGTATTTGTAGCAAATCGAGCATGAACCACATCAGCAGAAGAAATGATTTGAGAACTCATCTGCTGTTTTTGGTCCAGACTGCCAGGGGGAACATCTACAGGAAGGATTTCCTGTGCTTCTGGACAGCTGCAAGAATGGAACCCACTCCAGGAAGCTGATCAWGGGATGGTGGCAATTGGTGAACAAGAAAACTCTAAAATCCTGGTAGCTGGCATTGGAAAGGCTGGGAACATCACTGAGGTGCTGGGGGGTAGAATCCCCTGAGCACCCAGTGAGGGAGGGCTGCAAGCAGGCACAGGGGGCCAGAAGATCCCCAAGGCCCTGCTGATGGGAAGAGTGGCATGGAACCAGCTCATGGACACGTGTTGGTCCTGGCTGGAGCTGCTCAGGGGCTCTTCCTGCTCTCCAAAGCAGCTGAGGAGGTTGTGAGCAGAACCTGCTGATCTCTTCCATGYTCCTGGCTCAGGGGCACAGTGAGGCTGCAGGGCCAAGGCTGCTGTTGCAGAGATCAGAAATGAAGGTTGAAGCCTGTACCTTTGCCTCCTCTCCTTTCTCGTGCCAGTYTGTATTGTTGCACCTTTCACAAGGCACAGCAGCAGATCTTCTGTCTTGGTGCAAGGATGAAGCTGTGGAACATGTCAGCTCTTTGTTTGCAGCAAAGGTGGCATCTGTTTATTCATCAGCATCTTCCTAAGAATCACCCATGTCACTGGGAGARACAATTTCATGGGAAACATTAGGTTCAAATGCTTCCTCATTCCTCAATAACTATTATCCTCCAGAATCCAGAAACTCTAACATTACACCACTTCAAAAGCCAGGTTTACTTATCTTCAGTCTGTGATTAAATAATAAAAGCACCTGAGGAGAATGAGCACCCAAAGATCTCCTCAAGCAGTGAGATCAGAAGTGATTGTGCTGTGTGGAAGGCACTGGGGTACCCCGGGTTTCTGTGAGCATGGAACCACTTTCCTGGCAGATGAGCAGTGACAGGGCAGACCTTCCCAGCACCTCCTTCTGGGTGGCCCTTCCCTGCCCTTCCACACACGCCTGTTCAATTCCCATCTGGTTTTAGCAAATGGAATATCTGAACTCACCAGAAAAGAGTACCATTTCACCATCTGCAAGTGAGGAATTCAGGCTTTCAAATGATATGAAAYAATTAGGTCTGTTTTGTGTGGCATGCAAAATCTTGATGGAATCCATCACTGAGCCTTCCCTCTGCTCCTCAGCTGTCAGAGCAGCCTGCTTGGAAGGTAAGGCTGTTTCTTCAGGAGRCTGGAATTACTTTGGTTAAAACAGTCTGTCTGCTGAAGACATTTGACAGCTACCACAGTATCCTTCAAAAGGAAAAAGTGATTCTTCTGGATGGCAGGAATTGTGTTACAACTCTTGTTGTAATTAGAAATTGATCCAGTTTGAATCTTGATCTGGATTTCAGTTCTTCCCAAAAGAAAGATCCTTGAAATGTGTTCTTTTGGCACGACCACTTTGCTTAAAGAAAAGTTGATGCACACACTCCCGCAGGCTTCAAGGGTTCAGCCCTTTCCAGAACATAAAGATTGGAACTGCTGGTCCTTCCTGGACTGCAGCTACCCCAGAGCAGTGGCTGTGAGTTCCATCACTCATGTGGGGCTTACCTCTGTTGTTTCCTGTTGGTTCCATTGTTTCCTGGGGAACACTGACCAGGTGAGCCCACGGTGCCACAGGAACCCAATGGCAGTGACAATGAAACAAAGCACAGYGCTGTGGTGGACAGAGCTGCTGCCACTCCATGCACACGGGAAATGTGAAGGCCACAGCTTCTGTTTTCCATCCTACCCAGCTCTTTCTGTGTCTAAGGGGCGAGTCTGGGAGACCTGGGAGATGCTCCTTCACCACAGCTGACCCTGCCCTGGGCAGTGAGAGCACAAGAGCTCAGCAGGGTGCGTTTCCACATGGCCTTTTCTGCTGAAATAAAGGAGTGCTGGGAGAAGGGAGGAGCTGTGCTCGGCTTTCCACAAGGATGAGGCTCTGTTCAGGTGCAGCCTCCAAGGCCTGAGGAGCTGAGGTGTCTGATGAGCATCCCACCCTGCAGCAGTGCTGGGCTGACACCCACAGCTGTGGATTCCTTGGGCTGTGTGTCCGTGCTGAGAGGTCTSTGGGCTCCAAAGGGAGAAAATTGCCAGCTCTGGGCTTCTCCAGGTTGGGCAGGGATGCCTGGGTCACTGGGAAGCTCAGAAGGGGATTCCATCTGCTCAGTGAAGGCTCTCCCAGGGCACCAGCTGCTGCTCTGTCTGCAGGAGCCCRGGGCAGGTACAGGTGTGCTCGGGGTACCTCCATCCCCAGCGCTGGCAGTCCCACTGCTCAGCTCATCCACGGGCTTGGGGGTGAGCTGTGAGATGCCTTTGGGCTGTCTGGCTCTGAACCAGGGGTGAAAAAGTCTCACATCCCATTCCACATCCCTCAGGCTGTGCAGCCCCACTTCAAACCATTTCATTTTAAGGATAACTCCGTATGTATCTCTTGTTGTTATTGCAGGTTTGAAGGGGGAAATAAACATCCCCCAGTGGGCACAGAGCTGCACAGAGAGGAGAACAGCTCTGTGCTAACCCTGRGTCTGTGGGATACAGGAGAGGTCAGGGGCAGCTCTCAGCAAGGGACCCCTCCAGTCTCRGGGGAGGGAGGGGGCTGTGCCTGGGGAAAGTCCCCCTGATGTGTCAGCTCAGGGAAAGCAAAAGGGACCCAGCTTTCCCTGAAGCTGCAGAGGAGAAAGGGGAGAAAGGGAAAAGAAACAGCCAGGACAAACATATTCTTAGAAGGAGAAAAGCCAGGAAAAGTGAACAGTGGCACGCACACAAAAAAGGAAAGTACGAGTCCTTGCCCCCCACCCCTGCTCCTCTAGTGCCCCTTTCTGAACCTGCATAGCTCAAACTGCAAATGCCAGGAGAATTTCAGAGCTCCCCCCACTCTGGCAGTTGCACAAAGGTCTCCTCTCCCTCYGCCAAGAAATTTCCCTATTGACACAAGAACTCCACTCACTTACTTGCACGACAGCTGATTAATCCCCTCGATGTAGTAGCACACCCCTCCATTGACACAATAGGACTTGGCTGTTTCGTTGCATTTTCTGGCATGCCCGGACCAGGAGGAGAGAGTTGTGGTTACTGCAGGGGAAAACAAAAACACACACAAAAAGGAGATATTGTTATTTCCTTTGTTGGGCAATTCTGCTTCCTTAGATGATTTTCTATAAGTTCATTTGCCAAAATAAAAACCTCAGAGCTGCAAACCTCAGCCTGTACCGTTAGACCCACCTTCAGGGGCTGCAACTTGACCTTTACTTTCCCAGCAAAAGGAGCCAAGTGAGCGAGGAGTTGAAGACACATCTTCATCTAMGCAGCCAGCATGTAGAACGAGATCATTTTTTTGGCAAGCTGTAGGGAAGTGCCCCTTTCCACTCTCCCTGTCCCCCCTCATGCTCAGAAGGCTGTGCCAGCAGGCCAGCAGGAGCTTRGGAAGAAGAGGAGCTGCAGTCACAGAGTGACAGTGACGTGCTGAGCACATGGTGACACTGGACCCGGAGCAGAGGAGCTGCAGGGGRCTTTGCCTGGCCCCACATCTCTGTCAGGGACTGAGTTCTCAGAGCCAGGAGCGGGTYTGGCACAGGCAAGAACAGCTCCATCTGTCCCTCCCCTTTCCTGAGCGTTTCTGTCCTGCCACGATGGGGCTGCCCCAACAGGGAGGCAGCCAGCATGACCCAAGTTTGCTGGGATACACGTGCCTTTCCAAACACAAATTTCTTTCTAGAGAAAAGTGACAAGACAACCTGAAGGTAGTCTGCAGAAATTCACTGCAATCCCTGTCTCTGAGAGACTCAGACAAGCCTACATCCCAAAGCAGAGTCTCCAAAGGTAAAACAAAGGATTTGTTTTAGGAAGGGAAAGGAAGGGAAAAACCTGTTGTTAGAGCAACTGCTCCATGTTTCAAAAGTTAACAGCTTTGGATCATGCAGACCCATCTGCACATAACTCAAAGAAGGGCTGGGCACTCAAAAGCATCAATTTTTTTCAACTGAATCCTTAACCTCATTAAAAACAGTCCCCTTTCCTGGACTCCCCAGCTTGCTCAGAGCCTATCACAGCTACACCTCCAGCAGTGTGCCTACTGCCTACTTTGCAGAACCTTTTATGCTGCAATCAAGGCTTCTGAGGRGATGTTCTCTTCCATCCCAATTTCCAAAGCATGAATGAGCCTCATGGAGAGGTTGGTGACACCATCACCGAGACTGAGCTCCTCACTGACACAGGATTTGGGGAAGAAAGCTGGAACCAGAGCCAGGCAGGAGCCAGGCAGAGCCATGGAGGA